CATTTATTACTGATATTCTGATGTTTAGGCAAATGCCATTTTACATGCTCTGGTATTCATGAAAAAAAAATCAGTAAGAATGTTTGTGCGTGTGTCAATGCCACATTTCTGTTGCGGATAGAGACAACAAACCATAGACGAATTAGTCATTGAGGATGACCACAGTGGCATACCTTGTACTTCGTCAAATATAAACTTTTAAAGGACAGGCATATAGATTGATCTCAAACACAGCTATGTGGATAGGGTAACAGAAGTCTGATATACAGTGCAGAAGGCCTTTACTCTTTTTACCTCTGGAATAACTCTGTCAACCCCCTCATGTGAAATGTCATTCTACATCGTACTCCAGAATACACCTGGGAGAGGGTGTGGCAGAGTTGGTTTCAGTCCAAATTTTAGTCTAAAATTCTACCTATGTGCCTGTATCTTGCCAAGCTTGTTTTAAGTTTTGGCATGTCTGACTTGTTGTAATATTATTTTTTGAGGAAATTCTGGCAACCTTTTTTTGCATATGTTGCAAAGTAACTGCTTTTTTTCTTGTTATATAATATATTTTTGATTTTCAATGCAGGTCGCAATGAAACATAAGTATGGCTTCTTTTTTAGAGGAAATATGTCCTGATACAACGAATGGAGAGATTGAGGCAGTGCGAACTGCATCTGGAGGCAATGCAAACCAGGCAGCATATGCTTTACTCAGTAACTTAATCAGATTTTCCAACAGCTTGCAAGTACTAGCAAAGCCATGGTATCAAATTAATTTTACGTGTCTATCATAATCTAGGAATACATGCTTTTGCTGACTTTTCATCAACAAATTTGCAAGGGCATTTTATATTCTGTTGGATTCCAGTTTTAGCATCGAAAGAACAAACCAAAAGCAACGCACCATATCATGTTTGGAGAGTATTATCAAATGGTTATTCAATTGTTAATTAAAACCTATAATAAAATTACAATAAACCTGGTTAAAGTTGTTTCACATAACTTCATACCCACCAGATGAATTCCTCTCTACATATGCAAGCCAGTTGGTCAGCAAGTATGATTTGAAATGCCT